AGAGATGAGGTCTTGCCAAGTTGCCCAGGCAGGTCTCGAACCCGCAGGCTCAGGCAATCCACTCACCTCGGCCTCCCAAGGCACTGGGATTACAGGTTGAACCACCGAGCCCGGCCCAGTCTTTTACTTCTAACACTGCCCAGAGATACCCCTCAGTCACTCCAGGATGAGCTTCTAAAGAAGCTTCAGAGCCAGCCTGGGCAACATAGTGAGACCCTGTCTCTAAAATATAACCTAAAAAATTAGCCAGGCATGGTGGTGCATGCCTATAATCCCAGTTACTTGGGAAGCTGAGGCAGGAGGACTACTTGAACCCAGGAGTTCCAGGCTGCCATGAGCTATGATCGTGGCACTGTACTGTACTCCAGGGGGACAGAGTGAAAGCCTGTCTCTAAAACAAAACAACAAAACAAAACAGAAACCTCCACCTTCACTTCCACAGGTCCTGGGTCCTAAAGAACAAATCATAAAAAAGCTGACCTGACTCCACCTGTGAATTGAGAGGTGACAGACTTCTGGATTCAACAGAAGCAATAGCCATTCCTTCTCTTTTAAGTATAAAAAGAAGGTTTCTTCATTTGTCTTCATTTCATCCACCAAGTCTCCAAATTTAGGAAACATTTCATAGTTGAAAAATAAGGTAAACCACTCCTTTCCCATCCCCAAAGAAACTTAAAAAGGTCATGACTGAATTTGCTGCTGAAATTAATTTCAAGATTTTCAGGTTGATCAGCTAAAACTTTTTATTTCATAAATTTCACACTTATAAAGCAGTACTGGGAATGTAAAAATATACTTGTTTACATGGCTATTACTGAAGAAAAATACCCTGGTCATTTATTTTGGTTTCATTTAATAAAACAACAGAAACATCTGTCATTTCTTATAGTAAGCCTGTTGTCCTCCTCACTGGGTGGCAAAAACACACCCCATTGCCTTTCATTAACCTGCTGATCCTGAGGTGATCACGCCCAACGGACAACCAAATGTCTCCAAGTTTTGGTCAAATATAACAATTAAATCATCATGTGACGTTCCAAGGAACTAAAATCATTTGGGGAAATAAAAATAAACCATCTTTTAAAGTATTACCTCCCAGCCGGGCTCGGTGGCTCAGCCTGCAATCCCGCACCTTTGGGAGGCTGAGGCGAGTGGATTGCCTGAGCCCGCGGGTTCGAGACCCACCTGGGCAGCGAGACCTCATCTCTACAATAAATCAAAAAATCAACCGGGCGTGGTAGCACATGCCTGTAATTCTGGCTACTCGGAAGGCTGAGGCGGAAGGATCGCCGGAGCCCAGCAGGTTGAGGCTGCGGTGGCCGGGAGCAGCTACTGCACTGCAGTCTGGGCGACAGAGTGAGACTCCTACTCAAAAAATAAAATAAAATAAAATAAAATAAAAATAAAGTATTACCTCCCACAATGAAAAACTTACTTATCTCTGAGTTGTCACCAGTAAGTACCAAGGTTATAGGAAACCACAAAATATAGTTCTTGTAGAAAACGCATAAAGTGTGCCTCACTAATTTTAATTTTAAGCAAATCCCTTCCAACTGTGTTGAAACTTAGTTCGGGTGTCCACCCTGACCGAAAATCTTACTCGGTTCTAGTGTCACTGACTGCTAGCCATAGACTGTTAGGTCTCAATCTTGCCTAGAGAAGGCAGGGTGTATCTGTCTGACAACTTACCCGACTCAAAGAGCCAGCCAGGCATTCCATTTCAGCCCTGTCCTCTGTGCATTAAAAAGTGGGGATGTCTCTGCATTTCTGTCTGTTTCGCATTGTGTCTGTGGCTCCTACAGACACCCCTGTGGGATGGCTGCCCCACCACACCCACCCCACACGCCTGCAGGCTCACCCTGTCCTCTGGAATAAGGTTTCCTGGAGGAGACTTCCATCCTGTCCCTTGGTTTTGCCAAAGAGAGATCTGCCTACTGACTATTCTTTGCTGTGATGACAACTGTGCTCTGAGACAAACAACGTATTCTTAGCGGAAAACAATGTCCAACATCTCATGTTTTCCTCAACAGCCATTTGTTCACATCGGCCCATCTTCTGATGTCTGACTGACACCAACACTCAAAGACTTGCCCGAGGACAATCAAATGAGTCATGGGTTTAACAGCATTTGTACTCGACTGCATGGCTTAGTGTGTGTGTGTGTGTGTGTGTGTGTGTGTGTGTGTGTGTGTGTGTGTGTGTGTGTGTTTAAGATGGCAAAATCTCCGTAGGCAAAATGATGATTAATTCTTTTCCTTGCAATATTTAAGGACTGTTCTCTCACGGCAACCTCTTAGTGAATCCCCAAATCTAATTCCGAGGGGTGGGGGGAGGTGGAGAGCCACGCTTTTAAGCAAATTGTTCCTGAGGTTTTTCGTTTAGAGATCTACAACACTGGAAGATTCCGTTTTACGGGGACATATGCACAAAACTCGCTTGCTTGAGAACACTAGTTAGCCAAACCTCTCAGCTAATCCGACATTTACAAGTTTTAAGCAGTGTACGTTTTGGAATCTCTTGTGTGCCCCAGGACACACAATATGGATCTAATTAGGTTCAGCTGCCTTATGTTAGTAACAAAATGGAAAGGCGAAAAAGAGAAGTGGGGGTGGGGGCTTTGCTCATCCTCGCCCAAGCCCCGACCATCCCCAAGTCCCAAGCCTGCGCATCCTCCACGCTCACGCGCGGCACCCGCGCTTCCTAACGACCCCAGCGGGGCTGCCGCCCGGCTCGGCGCCCTGCGCGCTTCTCAGCCGCTGGCTTCT